GTAGGATATACATTTAATTAATTAATTAATTAATTAATTAATAATGTTTCATAAGCTCTCTGTTGTGGATAATCAGCTATTTCCTTCATCCCTAATGTTCCAGAGACTGGTGCCATATATGTGCCTACTGACGACAACTATTTCTTTCCCAAAAACTAACTGGGAAACAAGTCAATGGCTTGGTATGCCCAGCTCTGAATCATGGATCTCCACTTTGATTGCCTCTGCTTTAACATACATTTTTAAAAATGTCTTCCTCTCAGTTTTGCCATGTTATTCATCTCAGAATCAAATATGGAAGAAGCAAAAGGTTGTGGGGGATTGTTGGTACTTTAGTCCAGGTCCGCTTCTTGTCCACAGTTTACCATAAAAGTTGCTTCTAATAAGCTATACTACAAAGCTGTAGCACTAGTATTCCACATTAACTGTCATGGTTCCATTCTATGGAAGAGATGTGTCAGAGTCATGGCCAGAGAACTCTTCTAGTGTTTTATCAAATTACAAAATCCAGGATTTCGTTGGATGTGTCTATGACAGATAAAAGGGAATAATAGCACTAGGATTCTGTAACACGAATGTGCCCAAGAACTTGCTGGACTGTGTTATAAAGATTACAGTATTACTATTTAACCATCTTTAATTTCCCTGCCTCTTCTCCTTTCTTTTTGCGCATCTTACTCTTTTGTTTTTCACCCCCTGGCACCATCTCCCTTTTTATATTCCCAGCTGTCTTTAGTAATTTTGTGCAAATGTTTTCCTCATTATGAATTCCCTCCAGTTTCTTCTCTAGTTGGTGGCAGTTGGTGGATCCCACACAGACATAAACATACAACTACATCTGATCCTGATAGGACCTAGTGTGTAGTTGAGGAAATTAATGCAGATGTTGCTGGACTTCACTTCTGAGTAGGGGTGCAATTTTTCCTTAACTTTCTTCTTGGAAGTATTGGGTAAGACTGAAATATCAGCTCTTCCATATCACCCAGTAGTTGTAATGAGACCTGAAACTGAGCAGGAAGGCAGACAGACACAGACAATAACTTTGGCCACGTGTTCTACCAAGTCTCAGCACTGCTTTCCGTCTTACCTATTCACAGCACTGGAGAAGAGCAAACCACTGACCACCTGCTGCAATGCAACCTGAGCCCTGCCACATGCACAATGGAGGACCTCCTTGCGGCAACACTAGAGGCACTCCAAGTGGCCAGATACTGGTCAAAGGACATTTAATCAACTACCAAGCTTGCAAACTTTGTGCTTTGTCTGTCTGTCTGTTTGTTTGTTTTGTTTAAAAATGTAATACAAATGTCTGGCTGCTCCTGACACAATAAAAAAAAGCACTGGTCAAAGTTTATTCCAAGCATCAGCATTTTATAGATCCTCAAAGTTATGTAGATAATGATAACCTGTGCACGAGCAATATATAATGCATAAATAGTAAACCTTATCTGAGGTCTGTATGGCTAGTACAGAATGTACCCATAACTTGTTTGTTGTTTAGGAGAACACTCTCAGAATCTGACACTATATGTCTTATTGATCCTTTGGCTTGTTGATCCCGAGCACAAAATATTGCAGTTATAGCATTTCGACCATAGTAGATGGCAGAACTCCACAAAAAACACAGGAGATGTGGAGATGTCAGCTATTGTCAAAATAGAGGGATTTAACAATTTTCTCCCTATTATTTGAAAACTGCAGTTTAGCAAGGCTATGACCAGTTTGGAACTTATTCTGTAGTAAATTTGTTCATCTCTCCTCAGAATAGCAGCATTTTCTGCACAGAAAACATTATTAACAACTCTCCCCATCTCAGTTCTATAGAAGCAAGCTCAGGCAACTATGAAGATTTTAGAAAGGATGGAAGGGGCTGCTAGTTGAACCAAATTTAACTTCACACAAACTTGTTGAAACCATTAATTTATCTGCTCAACCCCAATGCTGTGACATGTTTACATATCATGTAAATAATCTGATTTACTCTCATTTCTATGTATGGATGTGAAAGCTGGATAGTAAAGAAACCTAACATCTGAAATGTTGAGCTAAGCAAGATTTCTGAGGATATTGTGCACTTCTAAAAGGACCAATTAATTATTTAGAGCAGGGCTTCTTAAACTTTTTTAACTTGTGACTCCCATTCCACCTGAAAAATGTTATGTGCCTCTGGATGTGTGTGTGTGTGTGTCCATCTTTCTGTACCACAAAAGCTCTTCCTAAGTGCCAATTCAGTAGTCCTTTATGATGTCATTGGATTGGCTGTTGCTATGTGAAGGATTGGCTGTAGAGGCTATCTCAGAGCTGGAGAAGCGAGAAAGGAGAGGGGGCGGGGGGAGGGGGAGAAGGAATGAGAAAAAGGGAAAGAAAGGAATAGAGAAGAAAGAAGGAAGACTGGGGGAAGAAAGAAAAGAGGAAGGAAGGGAAGAAGAGAAAAGAAAGTGGAAAAGATATGAGGGAAGGAAAAGAGAAAGAAACTATGAAAGCTGGTGGCAGTGGCCCCTCTGACACCTATGCAACACTGGGTAGATACACTAGTAAGTATGTAAAATAGGTCTAAAAATAAAACATTTGCTGATAATAAATCAGTATTTGCAAGGCTTGCTAACCAGGCTGGCTTTCCTTTTTATGAAGTACAGCTGAAGCATTTTCTGTACTGTATGCTGTTGCTAACAAATTTGTGTAGATGGGTGGCATCCTGAAACCGTTTACTCTTGCCATTTTTTTGGTGATCCCAACATTGAGGTATTTGGGGTTAGGACCCACAGTTCAAGGAGTAGTGGGTTAGAGAGCAAATCAAGCTTGAACTTTTCTTCAGAACCAAAGATGTCTAAATTGAGACTGTTGTACTTTGGCCATATCAGGAGAAGACAGAACTCAATAGAAAACCCAAGTCCAAACTTGAAATTAATTTATGTTTCAGATATGCCTCACTAGAAAACCACTATGTCAACGCTAAGTAAGATAAAAGACATTTAAAAGAAAAGAAGGCAATATTCCAGATGGATAGATTCACTCAAGGAAGCCACAGGCATTTGATGATATGATGACTCGAGTCTTCCAGTCATGGGGTTGCCATAAGTTGAAGCTGACCGGCTCACAATTAACAACAAATCTGCAAGTTAGCAGGAAGCCTGGTTTTTCAATATTTCCTTTTTTGGCCCAGTGCCACCCCTCACCCCTATTTGTAGTACATGCTGATTATCTTGTGGGTAGAAGTGTTTTGAATTTGGGATTTTTGCCAGGATTTTCGAAATCAGGCCTAGGTCTCCACCAGAAAGTAAGTTATACTTCATATGCAACTTAATATACATGTAATGTGAAGCTCATTTTATCCATGATATTATAAAATAATTTTGTGCATTAAACAAAGTATGTGCACATTGAAAGCAAAAGTCACCATAAGTCAATAATGACTTAAAGTAACACAACAACTACAACTATCTTACAAAGCATGTATTATTAAAATATATTGATGAAAGATTTTCATGAGGTATGTTGCGCCTCAATACATTTCATTATTACAATGTATATATGTGTCTGCATGTCTTTTAAGGGGTGCTTTAACCTCTGCTTTGCTAGTAAAACTGAATTAATGTGTTGCATAATGATGTGCATCTAAAAAGTGGGTTACCAATATGAAATGTTTGGGAAGATGTACTTTATGTTCCAGATTTGTGGAGTGGGGAGATTATGGAATCTATCTATAGGCGATCACTTGTGGTGGCGCCAAAACTATTATGGAATACCTGTATTTGCACATATGGAGATGGGACCCAATTTTATACTCAAAATTAATTTATGTTTCAGATATGCCACATACGCATAGCTCAGAAGGTAATTATTGCACCTCAGCTAGAGTTCACCTTGCTCAAGAACTCACCAGGAAGCCAAACATAGAAATAAACAGTTTATTGATAAAGCACCCACAGTAAAAGAGTAGAATTCCAGAGTTGCAGTCCAAAACACCTGGAGAGCCAAAGTTTGGCCCTCCCCGAAACACCAACTGCAGCTCTTGGCCAGAGAGTGAAGGGGGGGGGGGCAGGGGACAGTTTCATCTTGTCTCCTGTGCTATTCTAATAATATAATATAATGCAATATAATATATTGTATATACATATAATATTATAATTTATTTATTGTGTCTGGAGCAACCAGACATATTATAATTTAATGCAATATACTACTACTACTACTACTACTACTACTAATAATATGATATAATAATTATATATTTATATATTTATATTACATGTGATATTACTAATATTACAATATAATGGGTATCAATAAACATTGGTAAATGTTTTCCCCTGACATTAAGTCCAGTCGTGTCTGACTCTGGGCTGTGGTGCTCATCTCCATTTCTAAGCCGAAGAGCCGGCGTTGTCCCTAGACACCTCCAAGGTCATGTGGCTGGCATGACTGCATGGAGCGCCGTTAGTACAATATAGTAATATATAATACTGATATTGTACCATGCTAATAATATAATGTATGTATATATATATCTTGTAAGCCGCTCTGAGTCCGCTTCGGGTTGAGAAGGGCGGTATATAAATGTCGTAAATAAATAAATAAATAAATAAATAAATAAATAAATAAATAGAGTAACTCAGATATTTAGCCGCTTGTGCTCCTTCTATTTATATTATCAGTTTTATACTAATTTATGCAATGCTTTTGATACGGAAAAAAAAAATCATGGAGAACGCCCAGGTGCCTCTCCCTCAGGTACCCAGGCGGGCCATTTTGGAGCGTTGTCGAGGAAGGGATGCTCCAGCTGCCGCCGCGGGCACGCGGAAAGCCAGCGGCCTCCTCGCCGCGCCTCGAGCCTGCCTCCCGCGCGCACCTGTTCCCTCCCTTTCTGCAGCCGAGGTGCTGAGGGACCAAGAGAGCGCGCGCCACGGACGGGCACGCGCCTAGTGACGAAGCGGAGCCCTGCTCGCCGCCTCTGCCTCGCGCTGGGAAGCCGGGGTTGGGAGCGCGCGCCTGCCCCAACCCCTCCCTCCCTCCCTCCCTCCCGCCAGCCAGAGAGAGAAGCTGCGCAAGGAGGAGATGCCGCCGCGGCCGCCTTGGCTCGGAGGCCCGGTCTGCCATGGTGGCCTCCGGGCTAGGGAGACCCCACACCTTCGCCGGCGGCCCTAGAGCCCGCCCCCCGCCCCTTCTGGATGCCGGGCCTGCCGCTTTCTGGGGCTCCCGCGGCCCCCTCCCTATTGCCAGCTCTCCTCCTCCTCCTCCTCAGCCCTTGCCCTCCGGAGCCGCAGCCATGAGCCCCTCCCTCCCTGGGCTGCTGCTGCTGCTGCTCCTCCTCCTCTTCTTCTTCTTCCCGGGGCCCTGATCTCCCGGTGGCTCTGCTTGGGTCGCCTTGGGCCCCCCTCCTGCCCCTGAGCCGCCGAAGGAGCGAAAGGAAGGCCCGGCAGGCTGCGGAGGAAGGAGGATGCCGCTCTTCAGGAAGGCGCGGCGGGTCTCTAACCGCTCCATTTTCGCCTTCCTCTTCTTCTTCTCCTTCTCCTCCTCTTGCCTCTATTTCATCTATGTGGCTCCTGGGATAGGTAAGAAGAAGAAGGGGGAGGAAAGGGGAACCCTCCTCTCTCTCCCCTCCCTCGGTGGGTGGGACCCAAGGCGGTAAACCGGCCTCAAGGACAAGGACAAGCCTCCACATCCTTTTGCTTCTTCCACATGTATGGTTCGGAAGCTCTTTCCACACAGCCACATTGAACTGGATTGTATGGCAATGTAGACTCAGGTAACCCAGTGCAAGGATTATCTGCCTTGATGTTCTGAAGCCTTCCACACAGCTGAACATTATTTATGTGTTTTGAACTGGAATATATATATTTATTTATTTCCAGTATTTCTGCCCCTCTTTCTCAACCTCCGAAGGGGGATTCAGGATGGCTGACATTTGGCACAATTTGATGCCATTAAATATAACAAAGCAATATAACAACAATTAAAACAATAAATAGACATTAATTAAAACAATACAAAAGTATTAACTGCTGTATCACCATTCCAGTCAAATTCCATATCCAAAGCGCTATTTATGCCTGCTGTCCAAAAGTCTGATCCCAGAACCACGACTTCAATTTCTTCCTAAAAGACAGGAGGGATGAAGCCAATCTTACCTTGTTGGGAAGTGAGTTCCACAGGCTGGGGGCTGCAGCTGAGAAGGCCCTGTCTCTCTCTCTCTCTCTCTCTCCCCCCCCCCCCCCCCCCCATGATCTTAAAGTGCAAGGTGGGATGTAGAGGGAGATGCGTTCAGACAAGTAAGCTGGGCCAGAATGGTATAGAGCTTTATAGGTCAAAACTAGCAATTTGAATTGAGTTCAGAAGTGGATTGGCAGCCAGTGGAGCTGACATAACAAGGGGGTGGTGTGTTCCCTGTATGTCGCTCCAGTTAGTAATCTATATGGCAGCGAGGACTCAGGCAAACCTGTTCAAAGCCGATATTGAGGATTATCTGCCATGATATTCTGAATCCGCTTCCACACAGCTGAATACAATCCCACATTATTTGCTTTGAACTGGAATGTATGGCAGTGTGGACTCAGGGCCCTTTCACACAGCCATATAACCCAGAATATCAAGGCAGAAAATCCCACAATATCTACATTGAACTGGATTATCAGAGTCCACACTGACATATCCACTTCAATGTGGATTTTATACAACTTTGTGGAAGGGGCCTCAGATAACTGAGAGCCCTTCTACATAGTCCCAGAATATCAAGGCAGAAAATCCCACATTATCTGAGTGTGGACTCAGATAACCTAGTTCAAAGCAGATATTGTGGGATTTTCTGCCTTGATATTCTGGAATATAGGGCTATGTGGAAGGGCCCAGACTCCACACTGCCAGTTCAAAGCAGAAAATGTGAGATTTTATTCAGCTGTGTGGAAAGGGCCTGAGTTCAAAGCAGATATTGTGGGATTTTCTGCCTTGATATGTTGGGTTATATGGCTGTGTGTGAGGGCCATGAGGGCTCTTCCACACAGCCCTATCAAGGCAGAAAATCCCACAATATCTGCTTTGAATTGGACTGCATCCACACTCAGATAATGTGGGGTTTCCTGCCTTGATATTCTGGGATATAGGGCTGTGTGGAAGGACCCTCAGGTGAGCATCTTAGCACCCCTTTAACTACCATGGCTCCATTCTGTGGGATCCTGAGAATTGCTCTTTGGTGAGGCATCCACATGCTTTGGCAAAGGAAACTACAACTCCCAGGATTCCATAGTAATGATCCATGGCAGTTCAAGTGGTGCCAATGTACAATGGAGATGCCTCCCTGCATCTCTCTCCATCAGGTCAGTGATCTTCATTGGGAAAAACAGGCACGGTTATGAGGTTATGGAAGGTGATGCAAATGTCTGTTAAGGCTGCTTTGGCACATGCAAGTCATCCTCAGGTCTTATTGTCTGTGAACTTATGAGCAGTTATTTTTTCAGTGCTATAAAATTATTATAAAGGGTGGGATTATTATTATTATTATTAGCCTTATAATCTCACTTTTTTCTCCAGACAGAGACCCAAATGCAGCTCACAACCCTAAAAACTGCACAATTTCAAAATCTACAAAATCTACATATTAAAATAGAATTTAATGTTACACTTACCATATTTTTTTCATTCTATAGCACACTATTTTCACCACAGGCTTCCTTTTGCCTCACCAGAGCCCCCACCTTCCCAAAACAAATGTGAAGTAGAAATGGTGAAATTCTTCCGTGGCCCCTGATTGTTGGGAGAATGGGAGGAAAGTAAACTTTAGGAGTCTCAAAAAGAGCCTTGGCCTTCCAGCAGTGGCTATATTTATGTATTTTCCTGGAGAGGTAATTACAAAGGGGTGAGACCAGGCATCATCTTTGTTGCCACCTGTACAACAAAGTGTTCATCAGAGTCTAGGGAGCAAGGTCACAAGCATTAATTTCAGTTCCCAGGCTTTTTAACAGGACTATGAGTTGTTTTTAATCTGCTCCCATTCTACTCATGACTGTTAAAGGCAGGACAATCACAATAAATTGGGAATAGGAATGAATAGGTAGTCCATGCTCTTGTTACATCCTGAATAGATTACTGCAACACGCTCTATATGAGGTTGCCTTTGAAGATTACTCGGAAGCTTCAAATAGTCCAATGGAGTACAGAGAGCACACAACTTCCTTGTTATGCCAGCTCCACTGGCTGCCAGTCTGCTGCCGAGCACAATTCAAAGTTCTAAATGATTCTGGCCCAGCTTACCTGTCTAAACATATTTCCCTCTATGAACCACCATGGAGGTTAAGATGATCGGGGAAGGCGCAGCTCTCAGTACCACCACCCTTGCAAACATGACTGGTGGGGATGAGAGATAGGCCTTCTCAGTGGTGGCCCCTCATCTTTGGAACTTCCTCCCCAATGAAATCCTGTCCTTTAGGGGGAAAAAACCTTAAAACATGGTTGTGGGACCAGGCATTCCAGCAGTATATGCAGCAGCAAGAATGAGAGTGATTTTATATGACTAACAATGGACTGACCTTGGATTATGAATTTGAATTTGCATAATTTTAAAATGGATGTTCTAATAATTGATGTTTTAACTGTTTTTAACTGTCATTGTTCATTTATAATTTATGTGTTGGCATCGAATGGTTGCCTGTTGTGAAGCTGCCCTGATTCCCCTTCTGGGGGTGGGAAGGATAGGGTACAAATATGTGAAACAAACAAACAAACAAATAAATATGCAGTCACAGTTATTAGGAAGAATGGTGGTATTATTTACCATCTTTCTAGCTAATGGAGTTCAGTCATTCTTTAGTATGATTTTATAGAATAGCTCTATGGTGAAATAACCTGCAGTATGGTCTCCCTGTTTGCGAAAACCGACAATATCCTGAAGTAGATTCATTATAGCGTAATATACATTGATACTGTGGACTGCCAAAATGATAAATGAATGGGGTGAAAAGAAACAACATAAAGAGTGAGTACTAGAGAGCAGCCGTACCAGGGTAAAATTAGCCAAATTTAAATTTAAAAAATCTGTTTATAATTCTAATTGTGGTTTTTTAAGCAAATTTGAATTAAACTTTGACCATTAAAATGTAACTAGTTGATATGACCATCATCATCTACATATACTTTGACAGATTTGACCAGGACAGTGCATTTCCCACCCAGCCCAACAAATAGTTGGGACATGTAAAATACATACAATGCATTACCTACCCAACTAAAAAGACACTATCAAAAATGTAATGGACTTCCTCTCATAAAGTCACACAGTAACAGTATGTTGAGATTCTTTGTGTCAAAAAGTAGCACCAGGTATATATAAAAAACCAAAAATGAAACCAAAGGGGAAAACAGTCAGATTTGGCAACAATGTTCTTCTTGTTTTGTATTTAGCTCATATATTTCTTGAAGCAGGTGCTGCATAAACTTAAAATTCTATTAGCTCATGAAAGAAATACAGTACAATCCTCTTATCCACAGGATCAATACTCGATGTTTCATTTACCTGTTTCTGAAAAAATACGTAATCTCTAGATGTTTTCTAGCTCCTCCAGGTAAATCTATGATATACTTTGGCCAGAAATTGATCATGGAGTCAGGCTGAAGCATCTAGAGCTGCCTAGAAAGGTGTACTTGAGGCATTTCCTAGGTCAACCAGAATGGCTCCATAGTATGCTTTGGCAGAAGTCATTTGTTCAGTAGCGCTATTCCTCAAAGTGTTACATTTCCATGAAAAGTCATGGAACATATCCCCTCAGGTGTGGAGGTCACACTTTATCTGAGGAGGTGGTGATCAATACAGAAATATTGAAATTTGGAGCCTTTGTGAAAGTACTCCCTTTTGCAAAACTTGAAAAAACCCTAATATAGTATACCCATATCATGTGTAACAGGTGAAGGAACATGTTTCAGGTGTGCTTTCATTGTGTATTTCACTATGGCAGAAGGCTGGTAGATGGCCTTGTAGGGCTGTATCCACATTACAAAATTATAGCTGTTTAACACTATATTAACTGCCATGGCTCAATGCTATTGACTTCTGGGAGGTATAGTTTTGTCAGATATTTACCATTCTTTGTCAGAGCGTTCTGGTGCCACAACTAACTAAAAACCTCATATGATGAAACCATGACAGAGTGGTGTCAGATTGCTATAATTCTGCAATGTGAGTGGTCTCTTGGTTGGGCAGGCTTGAGAGCAGAAAATAATGCACTTTGTCCTGGGGCTATGTTGCTCCAGATGTTTCAGGGTCCATTGTGAGTTCATTCTAAAGGGGAAGAGTGTGTGCCAGCTATGCCTAGGGCCTAAATGACTTCAGGTGAATGGCAAGTTAGGGTTGGAGCTGCTCAGCCTTGCTTCCTGGAGAGAAAGAGGAGAGGTATCACATTGGCTATGATGCCCAAGCCCTGATTGCCACATACCTAAGTCCCAACAGCTTGTGTTTAAATTATAGTTATAGTCATGTTACGTGGATCACTAGCTATTTCCAGCACTCAGAAATCACACCATCAACATCCTTTTTCTCTCACTGACATACTATTCCATACAGTCCTTTCATAAAAAGGGAACATGAACTATGTAACCTAATAGCTGAAAGTGGAAGATAGGTGTAGGAATATGAAACATGCTTTAGACAGTTAATAGGTGTGCAACAGAAGGATTGCAATGTGTCGCAGAACTAGTAAAAAGCAAATAGAACTTGATTTAAAGGAGAGGACTAGGTGAAACAGGTCTCTTGGACTTCATCACACTAGAGAAAGGCTCCTCCCTAAAATACAAACCCCAAAATTCTGCAGGAGGCAGAAACCAGATTTTAAGTGGATTTTTTCTCTAGTGTAATGGATGATTTTTAAAAAGCTGAGAGAGGCAAAGGGGGCTTGATGCTAACCTGAATAGGACCTCTTTATCAGCTGGAGCTAATCTGCTATGTTAAATTTGCCTGTACTACCACTATCATAAACTAGCTATGTGTTGTCAATGGAGACTGACAGGCATTTTTCATTATTACCTATGACATGACATCATAGTACTAGTAAGGTGATGTTGAGAAGCAGGGGCTTATTCTTTATAAGCTATTCTTCTGCCTGGCATTTAAGAACTTTTGGATTTTTACTTTCAGGTGGTCTATGAGCTGCATATAGCCCCCAGACCCCACTTTTGACATCCCTTACACCCTGCATATCTTTTATAACCCAATAACTTCTCTTTTAAAGAGAAAATGATGTGTTGGGGTAGCTTTGCCTGGAAACCATGTAGAACATTTCAGAAAAGCAGGAAAAAAATGAATGTGAAAACAACCGAACCTCCATGACACCTGTAGAGTCCCACCCCCTTCCCCAACATGAAAATAGTTATTTTAGGCCCCTTCCACACAGCTGTATAAAATCCACATTGAACTGATTATACAGCAGCGTGGACTCAGATAACCCAGTTCAAAGCAGATATTGTGGATTATCTACCTTGAAATTCTGGGTTTTATGGCTGTGTGGAAGGGTCCTTAGTCACAATCCTTCCCATTTTGAGAGAAACAGAAAGGCAAACAATGTAATGTTCTGCCCTGGGGTGAAATTGACCACCAGTCCCATACATTTACCTACCTCAGTTAACTTGATTGGTTTCTCTTTACAGCTATATGACAGATTTTTTTTTTTGTATTTGGACATACCTAATAAAGAAGAATAGATATTCAAAGCGTGTAATAGACTTTCACTTATGTCAATCATGGTGAAGGTTTGTGTTAGGAAATTAAACATTTTTACTGTGATGATTTTTTGTATAATGTTAAGGTTATTTTTTTCCCTTTGAATCTGGAGCTTGTTCTGGCATTAAGAACCTGTTTTCCAGTCTTTTGAAATAGATTTTTAAGATGTTATGGTATGGAAGTGAGGATTGCATCCTTCCTATTTCTGGCCATGGTTACTTTCATAGGTTTATTTTCAGCATTCTCAAGTAATATTTATTTGTACTATTTTTGCAGTCAAAATGTATTTCACAGTATTTTGTATCACAGTATTTTTTCAGTGGTAAGGCACTATTGATTGTAAGGCACATCCTTATTTCAGTACTCCCACCAAAAATACCTCCCTGTGAATCTATGAAGTGCCTCATTTTGAGGATGTTTATATAGGAAAAAGTGCATCTTGGAATTGAAAAAATAAAATACGATCCTGAGTTATGCCACTGTCATCTACAAGTAGGTGGCCACATTCATCAGGAAAATGTGTTTTTTTCCAAGGGGACTGATCTTGATCTGTAGAGGTAACAAACCCAGCCTGTTTTCAGATATTGGGGGTGTTTCATGAGATTATACTTTGCAAAAGCAGAGCTTTCTACTTGCATCGTTTTTTGACAGATGGCCAATGTTTCGTTATTGATCACCTTTTAGGTCTCAGAGAGAGACAGGTGCAGGAGCTATAAGTAATTAATTTGTTTTGGGTTGGGAAATCAAATAAGGTTTAAGCTTGCAGCTAAGAGTGTTATGCATATTAATAAGAGAAATGACTCATTTATGTTGTTTGGAATTTTCTACATTTCATCTCCACATTTTTCTTTAGACTTCACAAGTACCTTCATTTTGTACATGAATTTGATTTCACTGTGTTAATTCTTCCTAAAAATAGAAAGATTATATGATTCATCTGACTATCATTAAAACCTTGCATTTTCAGTGTTGAATTCAGGTTGAAGCTAATTCTGGTTCTGTCTTTCCCTCAACAGCAAACACATATTTATTTATGGTACAGGCACGAGGTTTAATGCTGAAAGAAAATGTGAAGACAATAGGACATATGATCAGATTGTACACTAATAAAAATACTACAGTTAATGGTACAGGTAAGACTGTAATAAGTTTAAGTTTTTTTAAAACAGGAAAGCTTAGAGAAGACAATGATGCTGGGGAAAATGGAAGGAAAAGGGAAGAGGGGACCAACCAAGAGCAAGATGGATGGATGGATGGCATCCTCGAAGTCACTGGTTTGACTCTGAAGGAGCTGGGGGTGGTGATGGCTAACAGGGAGCTCTGACGTGGGCCGGTCCATGAGGCAAAGAAGCAACTGAATGAATAAACAACAACATTTTTAGTATCAAATCTAAAGTAGGGGTGAGCAGAATGTGACCCTCCAGATGTTGGACTGCAAATCTCAGAATTCCTCACCATTGGCTATGCTGGCTAGAGTAGATGGGACTTATGGTTCAACAATATTTTGAGTGTTGTACTTTTACCAATCTAAATTTAACTAAGAAACCTCCAAATCTCCAAAAAATAATGCTGTACCACAATCAGATAATTAACATACATAAACATCATGTGTCTTTGTTAAAAATTTGTGAAGCAGACTTCATTTAAAATGTTATAAGAATACGTTGTTTCTTGTGTTTTTTCTATTAAGATTATCCTGAAGCCAACAATACAAGCGATAGCCTTGCTCAAACTGTGATGTACCTTCCTGAAAATTTCACTTATTCTCCTTTCCTACCTTGCCCAGAAAAGCTACCCTACATGAGTAAGTTGAAATGGTTTGTATACTTCAAATTGTTTTGAAATAGGCTTTTTCAATGGCCCCTTCCACACAGCTGAATAAAATCCCATATATTCTGCTTTGAACTGGGTTAAATGGCAGTGTGAACTCAGTCAGATAACCCAGTTCAAAGCAGATATTGTGGGATTTTATGCTTTGATATTCTGGCTTATATGGCTGTGTGGAAGGGCCCAATGTGATACTTAAACATCTTTACATTGAAAAAAGAAAAAGAAAGCAAGGGTATTTTTTTCTTTTCAAAAAGTTCTTTGAGTTCACATAACTTTCTGATCTCATTGTTTTAATGCAACAGTATACATCAGATCTGACATGTCAGCACTGAAAGCCATTGCCTGAACAATATAGTGGTTAGAAAGTGTATTTAGCAGAATGTATACCACTGTTATATGTCTTTTGTGTTTTGTATACTTTTTCTTACAAATCTTTCTGCACACATATATCACAGACACATACATCCTGAATTTTTGTAATGTATTCTACACAGGAAACTTCACCTGGCCCAAAGAACTGCAGCCATAATGTTAAGTGGGGCTGGCTATAGGGAACACAACAGCTCACTGGCTGCTGTTCTGTTTTGGATCACAATTTAAAGTATTTGTTTTAACGTGTAAAGTGCTATATGGCTTATGTCTGGGATCTTTGGTAGGACATATCTTCTCATATGAACCCGAGATTTTCTGGGAAGTCTCTTCTCTGACTTTTACTACTATCACAGATAATAATGGGAACACAGGAAACCGCTTTCGCTGTAAGTTGTCTTGACTGCCAGGGCATGGAAAAAGGCAGGGTGATGATGATGATGTGCAGAAAATGCCTTAAACCGACTGGATTGGACACTCAGCTGATTGAACACACATATATAGAGCAGAGTGCACTAGCACATACTAAGTACTTTTTTTTGTTCAAAAAGGCAAATATTAAAGATGTCTAGCACAAAATCCGCTGAAGCTTTTTTAAACATTTGACACTGATTACCTGCTCTGAAATGATTACAAAGTCTTCATATTTCATGTGTTTGTATAAAAACATGAACATTGCTGTACAATTTTGTTTTTAAAATAAAGTCAGAGATTGGGAAGGTTGAATTTCTGAATGTTGATTCAGATTTAGAATTTAATCAGATTAGGTTAGGTGAAACTCAATCCAAATTGGAGCTGAACTCAAATAGGGCTTACAGTCCTCGTTTTAATTATGGGAAGAATTCTGAATCAGAATTAATACTTTATGTTTTCCTACCTAGGAGGCCTTATTGATGCCAATATGAGTGAAATTAGTTTGGATGAAATTCAGCGGATGTTTGCAAAAGATTTAGACATTGAACCAGGTGGTCACTGGAAGCCAAAAGATTGTGAACCACGCTGGAAGGTGAAGTGTTACTTTAATTTTTGCTGACTTGTTTACAATTTCTTAGTATCAAAAACTAAGTATTTCTTAGTATAAAAAACTAACATTTCCTTAGTATTGAACTTGCTTTTGCAATATTGAAACATATTTTCAAAATGATACAAAACATTTCTTGAATATATGTATACGTTCTTTGCATCATTGTTCTATCTAAACACGAAGCATACTATGAATTGTTACACATCTAATGTATGCAAAAATTCTAAAGTCTCAGGGAAAACCTACAAATATAACCATAACCAAGTTTACAATCTAACCACAGAAACCAAAGAGGAGATAAATTAATGAAGGAGGAAACTGACCACACACCAAAATAGAACATATTAGTAATCATAGACAATTGGATAGCAGAAGTAGGAAAGAAAACAGAACCAAGCGTTGTAGGAGAATATGGCCTAGGATCAAGAACTGAAATAGAGCATGGATGAGTCAACAGTTTTCATTGCTAACATTCTATTCATGTAACTAAAGAGGCAACTATGTTTATGGATATCATCTGATGAGCAATATAGAAATTAGATTAGGCTACATAATTGGAAGCAGAAAAAGGAGAAGCTCTATTCTTTCTGGAAAAACAAGACCAGGAGCCGATTGTGCCACACACTGTAAACTGTTAATACCTGTATCAAACATTAGAGTAAAGCTAAAGAAAAGAAAGGTAAAATGCTGACCTGCACATTTTTGCATACACATATTAACACACACACCTCTCAAAAGAGAAAAAAAATCAAAAGGCAGCACTGCCTTTTCCAGATACTGATACCAACTTTGAAAAAGGTTTAAAAATGAAGGCAACCGGGTGTGTGTGTGTGTGTGTGTGTGTGTTATTGCATAGAATCAAGTGTCTTAATGTATGCAGCTGCATAATATATATAAACGATTAAAGATATACCGATAAAGGAGCTACCTCACCATAGTCAGATCAATTCTATAATCTAATTGACCACTCAACAAACTGGTGGATTGAGATGGTCAGTCTTACCAGTAGATAGAATCATAGAGTTGGAAAAGACCATACGGGTTATCTAGTCCAACCTCCTGCCATGCAGGAAAAGCACAATCAAAGTACCCCTGACAGATGGCCATTCAGCTTCTTTTTAAAAGCTTCCAAGTAAGGAGATGGGCCATCAACCAGAATCCGTTCTTTGTGTTGTGCTAAGGCTCCAATACCTGTTACCATTAAAGCTCTGGCCATGTTGTATCCTTCAAACATCGCAAAGTAGGTTATTGAATCCCATCTTCATCGTTTTATCTTGGTCTGCCTGTCCTACAACTTAATTGCCTGCCCTACAATTAAATACTGCATTGTATGTTGTAAATCTACTTCCTCATCACATTGCTTTTGAAAGTCTGCCCCTTCCCCCATTTTATATCCAAATACTATAAAATATTTTTCTTCAGATATAAAAAATGTAAAAATCCACAAAAATAAACATAATATCTAAAATTATTGAATATTTAATACAGTGAAAGCAAAACAAGTGTCAGTTTCTTTGTTTAATTTGAATTGAATTACAAAACCTTAGCACTACTACTATATGTGGGTTTACCAGGCTTTCCTTTTTTAAAGGTTGCAATATTGATACCTTTCCGCAATCGCCATGAACATCTTCCAATATTTTTTCGACATGTGATACCAATGTTACAAAAACAGAGGCTGGAATTTGCTTTTTATGTCGTTGAGCAGGTAAGATATTTTCTTTTTCTTTCGATTCAGAATTATTGAAAATTCATCATTATATAGATGTAGAAGGATTAAAATCCAACACAGAAAATATTGGAGTTAAACATGTGTTTCTTCTGTTTTCCTGTTTCGGTAAGACTGGAGGCCAACCTTTTAACCGAGCAATGCTTTTTAATATTGGCTTCAAAGAAGCCATGAAGGATGATGATTGGGACTGTATAATCTTTCATGATGTGGATCACTTGCCTGAAAACGATCGAAATTATTATGGTTGTGGAGAAATGCCACGTCATTTTGCTGCAAAACTGGACAAATATATGTACATGTAAGTAACAAACTCACATTGTAATGTGTGGAAAGGTCCTATGTATCTGATTTTTTTTTTTGCCTAACATGTTTTGACAAATAGAAAATCATCATAGTAACACATCTTAGATGATATCTAACATTAGAAGTCTCATGCCTAAAGTGACCAATGAACATATGTACCTTTGCTCCCCTTGTCTGAGAACCTGTCTCCTGGCTTTATCCTTGGTACTAACCATCTTTGAAGCTTTGGGTTCCGTTTTCTCCCAGTCTCTCTGATTTACTTCTGTGACTGTCTTCTGATGCCCATTTTCCCTCCCAGCTTTCGATTTATCTTTGGACTACTTCTTACCAGGGCCGTAGCTAGAAAATTTTTTTGGGGAGGGTTGAAATTTTCAGGGGGGGGGATTGAAAATTTCAAGGTGGGGGGAGTTGAAACCTGCCTCCTAGCTCAGCAGGGGGGCAGAGCAGCCTTCAATAGCCTGCAGCTCCGCCCCTGTCAACCACCTCCACCAAGTCTGGCCTCCTTAATGAGAGCATTCAACACCTCCCCCCCCCCCCAACTTGGTTGCTTCGCTACATCAGCTATTGCTGCAAGTAATGACAATGTGAATAAATTGTCAATATTTGCTTGAGTTAGTGCTTGCAGTTCTGGAGGGACTCTTAATTTTTTGCGTCTCATAGACTTAGCATGGGGATTTGGTTAACCAGTTAAAATTCATGAGTAAACCAGGTTTGTTTTTTTTAACCTGAAAAATGGGGGGGGGGGGTTGAACCCCTAAACCCCCCCTCGCTACAGGCCTGCTTCTTACCAGAATGCAATTCCCTTTCACTTTTACTTTCTCCTAGCATTTATAAATTGTATTGATCTTATATGACATGTGTGGGGTGATACAACATTCAAATGGTATGACTGAAAAGCAAAATAATGTAAAAGCGACAATTTAGACTTACATACCAGTCTGATTTTCACATCTCCTTTGCTCTTGTGAACAATAGATTTTAATGTCATATCCCACTGTTTTTAAAAGTTTCCGTAGTTACAGGAGTATTTGACCCTATGAATATGGATCAGCAATTCCTTGTCTATTTCACAAAGCTTTATATTTACTGATTAATCCTTAATCCAGCCATTTGAAAATACAGAGTATTTTAATGCATGATATTTCTATGAAATGTGTTTTTGTAGCAATAACTATAGTTCTGTTTATTGTACACCCCTTCAACAAATATTTGAGACCACTTATCTTAAATATTTTGCTTGTATATTCAGGTGAATTAGCTGTATCTCAGGGCCCTTCCATACAGCCCTATATCCCAGAATATTAAGACAGAAAATCCCACATTATCTGAGTGTGGACTCAGATAACCCAGTTCAAGGCAGATATCATGGGATTTTCTGCCTTGATATTCTGGGGTTTAGAGCTGTGTGGAAGGACCCTGGTCATTGGAAGTTCTTGTGAGAAGAGAGATGTGCTAAATAAAAATTCTGCTCTAATTTTCAGTCTTCCGTACAATGAATTCTTTGGTGGTGTAAGCGGACTAACGTCTGAGCAATTCAAAAAAATCAATGGATTTCCTAATGCCTTTTGGGGATGGGGTGGAGAGGATGATGATCTTTGGAACAGGTGAGTATTCACAGACAAAGTACAACGAGTTTTTAAATATAAATAGCTTTGACGCTACAGGATCTCACAGAAGTATTCAACCCTTATAGTCTTTTCCATATTCTGTTCTTTTGTGGCACAGTAAAACTATTTTGCCATCTTTCCAATGTTTGCTATTTTTTGAATCTCAAGTAGTAATAATCCTAGTTGAATCCATTTTAGTTCCAGGTTGTAACACAACGAATTGGGGAAACTTAGAAGGGGGTTGTCTGCAAAGCTTTGTATTGAAGCACTCTGATGAAGATGAAATCATGAGAGAGAACTCTGATGGTTTGTCTAGCTTTGAGAGGATCTATTGCACATGAGTCCAGAAGCCAGATTGTTTAAAAATACAATTGCATGGTGATAGTCTTTACAGTATTTATATATGTAAAGATTTTATCATCAGCATTTTTAAATAAGTAGTCTGGCTTTGGTGATATTCACTGTTTTCTTTTTTGTCGATTTTTTAAAAAGACAGTACTGACGTATGAAATAATCTCATAATATGATTGATGCAGTTTCTGTTCATTAAGCAGTAGCATATCTATAACATATTAAGAATTTCCTTGTCTACTTTTGATACGAAAAATGCCAAAACACGATGTAAGCAATATAAGCATCTTTAGTTTTCAGATTTCATCTGCTGGCTAGCTGTTTTCCTTCTTTCAGCTGCTGTGTTAATTTGAGCAAATTAAGAATATTTGTCAAAGTTTTTGGCTATGTGTTTCCTTCACTATATCATAGAATAGGCATGTGAACTTCAGTATAATTTAAGAGCAAGTGTTAATCATCATCTGAGCAAGGGATCCAGGGTTTCTTCTGCCCCTTGCACAATATTTTAAAAAGAAAGAAAAAAAGATATATATATTTTCAGTGGTCAAAAATCAGCAGATAGCAATTCTAGACATTTGATCATTCAAGAAATTTGGGGGTTGATTTTTGTCTTCCATAGCAGAACAGTTAGACTATGTCTTATTGAAAATAATCTCTATTGCCCTACAAATAATTGTACCAGAAATGCCACTTATAATTTGCATGCACAAGATTTTTATTCATTTGTGCATATAAACTTTTTATGTAAAAAAACTTTGCAAATGTAAGTTTTCTAATATAAACCAACTGTTTGGTCATAGGGTTCATTACGGAGGGTACAATGTAACAAGACCAGAAGGAGAACTAGGGAAGTATAAATCTATTCCTCATCACCACAGAGGAGAAGTTCAGTTCCTAGGACGGTAAGAAAAAATGTCTGAATATCACAAAACTTAACAATTTCATTGTCAGTATTGTCTCCCATGTTGTTTAACTTCTACATGAAACCACTGGGTGAAATCATCCAGAGTTTTGGAGTTTGATGCCATTTGTATGCATATGATGTTCAACTCTATCACTCCTTTCCACCTGCTACTAAGGAGGCTGTTCAGGTCCTGAACTGGTGCTTGTAAGCTGTGACAGTCTAAATCAGGGGTCCTCAAACTAAGGCCCGGGGGCTGGATGCGGCCCTCCAAGGTCGTTTACCTGGCCCTTGCTCAGGGTCAACCTAAGTATGAAACTACTTGAAAGCACACAACAACAACAACAACAATCCTATCTCATCAGCCAAAATCAGACCCACACTTTCCATAGACATACTAATATGTTTATATTTGTTAAAATTGTTCTTAATTTTAATTATTGTATTTTTTTTTATAAATAAGATATGTGCAGTGTGCATAGGAATTCATTCATTATTTTTTTCGAATTATAATTTGGCCCGCCAACAGTTTGAGGGACTGTGACCTGGCCCTCTGTTTAAAAAGTTTGTGGACCCCTGGTCTAAATGAAGGTGAACAAATTGAAACTGAATCCCAGCAAGACAGAGGTTCTCCTGGTCAGTTGCAAGGTCAAACTGGGCATAGGATTACAGCCTTTGCTGGACTGGGTCACATTCCCCCTGAAGACACAAGTGCGCAGCTTGGGTGTTCTCCTGGATTTATCGCTCTGCCTGAAACTCCAGGTTTTGGCGGTGACCAGGGGAGCATTTGCACAATTAAAACCTGTGTGCCAGTTGTGCTCATAACTTGGGAAGTCAGACTTGGCCATGGTAGTCCACACTCTTGTTACTTCCTGAATAGAATACAGCAATGTGCTCAATTTGGGGTTGCCTTTGAAGACTGTTCAGAACCTTCAAGTGGTCCAACAGGCAGCAGCCAGGTTCTTCCCCGAAGTGGCGTACAGGGAACATACAACCCCCCTGATATGTCAAATTAACTGGCTCTCAGTATGCTACCGAGCACAATTCAAAGTGCTGGCTTTAGTTTATAAAGCCCTAAATGGTTCTTGCCTAGCTTACCTGTCCGAATGTATCTCCCTCTATGAACCATTGTGGAGATTAAGATCTTCTGGGGAAGCCCCAATCTCGGTCTGGGGAAGCCCCAATCTCGGTCCCACCTCCTTTGCAAGTGCTGTTGGTAGAGACAAGAGACAGGGCCTTCTCAGTGGTGGCTCCTGGAGAACTCCCTCCCCAGTAATATTCGATCAGCTCCTTCCCTCCTAACCTTCAGAAAGAAAGTAAAAACATGGCTATGAGTCCAAGCTTTTGGAGAATAACTGCAGGGCAATAAATGAATGTAGAATCTATATAATGACAAGTGGAATGGCTCTGTATTGTGACCTTAGATTGTGTGATTTTAATAATTGATGTAATTGTTTTAGATGTTTTTAATTCTTTGGTTTTAAACATAAATGTTTATCAACTGTATGTTATTTTTAAGACATTGAATTGTTGCTGATGTGTGAGAGTACAAATGTGGTAAACAAACAAACAAACAAACAAACCTTCTCTAGGCCAGGAAAGCATAACAGATAAAAAGCTCATACATGGCTTTTTCATATTTAAAACATTTCTGAAGTTGGGCTCCCTCAAGAGAGGGCTACCATTCCTGAGGAAGAACCATATTTAATAATATGTAATAAAATAATAAATATTCAATAAAGTGTTACACAGAGACTCCAATGAACAGAGAATTTCAGACCTTTGCTTAAAAAGAATACCATACTGTCCCTCCCTCCAAATACCCCATCCCTTGGTTCCACCCCAGTGTCCACTTGGGTGCAGGACACACCTGGCAAAAGACCCCCCTCCCTTAAAAATGTGAAGTAAAATAGCATTATTTAATAAATTTAATTCAAGCCTGAAAGAAAAAAGAGCAGCGTCATGTGTTCCAAAAACACTGGGATCAAAGTAAGGACATATTATTTTGCATATATGGGTGGATGCACAAAGGATTACATTGATTAAAATTCTTGTGTTAGGCATTTTTTTTAAAAAAATATTTTTACAGTCAGAATAATCACATGCTTGTTTTCAAGTCTACGTTATCCTGTCTATTTTCAACAGAATGTTCTATAGCTTTTGCTAATGCTTCATACTTTTCCCCTTCACAGCTATAAACTCTTAAGATATTCCCGAGAACGCCAATATATTGATGGGTTGAACAATCTGGTATATACGCCAACTATTCTTGTCATGAGATTGTATACAAATATAACTGTAAACCTTGTACCAGAACTAGCTCCTGTTGAAGATTATTGATGAGGCTGCAGAATGGACATCTGGATGAACAAAGTATATTATTGAGAAATATGAAGTTAAAGTTTGAAGTGTCATTTCTGATATCTCTAATAACTTTTAAAAAGTGAAATGATTTTCTGACCATATGCCATTTGATTCAAAGAAATCCTAGTGAATGCTTCTTGAAATGTTTACATCATGAAGCAAAAAATGTTCAAACCTCATTTTATCATGTTTCCTCAACTGAAACCATGAAGCTTAGTAATAGAAAACAAATCTCTAGTTTATTTAGAAGCCAATAAAAACATTATCTCCTAAGGAATATGCATTCAATGAACTGCAAGAAAGCTGAAGGGTTTTATATTTTATGTAAATATATTGATTATAAATCCATGTGCTTTTGAAAACTATAGCAGTCATGGCTTCTGCATGTGCTTCATAGTAGTTCTGTTCATTTTCTCCAGGATTTTGTCATGATGCATAAGCAGTGGATTCTAGACAGAGATGTTTGGTAAATAATGAAGGACCAATTTATAAGTGTTAATTGGCTATGATTGTAAATTGTTAAGCTAGTTTTGAGCTTTGGGCTTCCCACATAGATATATTACCTTCTGTATATATGATTTCACCGCCAACATTTTGGAGTGATATTTTCATTTTTATTCTATTTATTACCATGAGCAATGCCATGATTCTCTTATTATTCTTGAAATAATATTGTTTATGCATATTGCATGTATATTACAGGATCCAATCCATAAAGGATGTTGCATTTCATTATGGTATTTACAATGTACTGGTAGTCTTGGTGTCGGATTTATATCTAAGCATACTGTTAATTATGTGTCTAGATTGCATTTCATAGAGTTTTTAAAAAGCCATATAAGTCGTTTCAAAATCAAAAGATCAAACAGCAAAAGTTTCTTAATGAGAAGATTAATGAGCAGTAAAGAGAACAGAGTGGTAGTAAAAAGATACTTTATATGAACAGAAAATTCAGAATACAGTAGAGTCTTGCTTATCCAAAAAAAATGGGCTGGCAGAACATTGGATAAGCAAAAATGTTGGATAATAAGCAGGATTAAAGAAAAGACTATTAAATGTTAAATTAGGGTAAAGGTTTCCCCTTACATTAAGTCTAGTTGTGACCAACTCCATTTCTAGGCCAAAGAGCCAGCGTTGTCTGTTGACACCTCCAAGGTCATGTTGCCACCATTACCTTCCCGCTGAAGCGGTACCTATTGATCTACTTACATTTGCATGTTTTCAAACTGCTAGGTTGGCAGAAGCTGGGCCTAACAGCAGGAGCTCACCCCACAGCCCAGATTTGAACCGGCAACCTTTTGGTCAGCAAGTTCAGCAGCTCAGCAGTTTAACCCACTGTGTCACCAGGGGGTAGATTTCTGGCAAAAATTGGCATGATAAGAAAAAAACGATGGCAGGGATCTAACAGAAGCTGAAGAGATCAAGAGAAGGTGGTGAGACTATGCAGAAGATCTGTATAGGAAGGATAATAATATCGAGGATAGTTTTGACAATGTGGTGAGTGAATTAGAACCAGACATCCTGAGGAGTGAGGTTGAATGGGCCTTAAGAAGCATTGCTAACAACAAGGCAGCAGGAGATGATGGGATCTCAGCTGAACTGTTTAAAATCTTGAAAGAGGATGCTGTCAAGGTGATTCATGCCATATGCCAGCAAATATGGAAAATACTAGAATGGCCTTCATTCTGGAAAAAATCAACTTATATCCCCATACTAAAAAAGGGAAATGCTAAAGACTGCTCAAGTGGCCCTTATTTCTCAAGCCAGTAATGTAATGCTCAAGATCCTGCAAGGAAGACTCCAGCAATACATGGAGCGAGAGTTGCCAGATGTTCAAGCTGGGTTTAGAAAAGGGAGAGGAACAAGAGACCAAATTGCCAATATTTGCTGAATAATGGAGGAAGGCAGGGAGTTTCAGAAAACCATCTATTTCTGCTTCATTGAGTATTCTAAAGCCTTTGACTGTGTGGATCATAATAAATTGTGGCAAGTTCTTGGTGGGATGGGCATACCAAGCCACCTTGTCTTTCTCCTGAGGAATCTGTATAAGGACCAAGTAGCAACAGTAAGAGCAGACCATGGGACAACAGACTGGTTCAAGATTGGGAAAGGCGTATGGCAGGGTTGTATACTCTCACCCAACCTATTCAACTTGTATGCAAAACACATCATGCGATGTGCGGGGCTTGACGAATGCAAGGCTGGGGTTAAAATTGCTGGAAGAAACATTAACAACCTTAGATATGCAGATGATACCACTTTGATGGCCGAAAGCGAGGAGGAGCAGAGGAGCCTTCTAATCAGGGTGAAAGAAGAAAGTGCAAAAGCTGGGTTGCAGCTAAACATAACAAAACCAAGATTATGGCAACAAGAATGATTGACAACTGGGAAATAGAGGGAGAAAACGTGAAGGCAGTGACAGATTTGTATTTCTAGGTGCAAAGATTACTGCAGACGCAGACTGCAGCCAGGAAATCAGGAGACGCTTTCTTGGGAGGAGAGCAATGTCCAATCTTGATAAAATAGTGAAGAGTAGAGACATCACACTGGCAACAAAGATCCGCATAGTCAAAGCAATGGTATTCCCCGTAGTAACCTACGGATGTGAGAGCTGGACCTTAGGGAAGGCTGAGCAAAGGAAGATAGATGCTTTTGAACTGTGGTGTGGAGGAAAGTTCTGAAAGTGCCTTGGACCCCAAGAAGATCCAACCAGTCCATACTTCAGGAAATAAAGCCCGACTGCTCATTGGAGGGAAGGATATTAGAGGCAAAGATGAAGTACTTTGGCCACATCATGAGAAGAAAGGAAAGCTTAGAGAAGACAATGATGCTGGGGAAAATGGAAGGAAAAATGAAGAGGGGCCAACCAAGGGCAAGATGGATGGATGGCAGCCTTGAAGTGACTGGACTGACCTTGAAGGAGCTGGGGGTGGTGACGGCCGACGTGGGCTGGTCGTGGGCTGGTCCATGAGGTCACGAATAGTCGGAAACGACTGAACGAATTAACAACAAAGCCACCAGGGGGCCTTCAATTACATGATGATTTTACAAATTAAGCACCAAAACATAATGTTTTACAAGAAATCAACCGAAAAAGCAGTTCAGTACATGGTAACGTTATGTAGTAATTACTGTATTTACTAATTTCGCACCAATACATCAAAATGTATTGAAACAGCTGCGGATCCAGGCGGGAGGCAGACTGCATTGGATAACACAGAATGGTGGATGAATGAAGGTTGGATAGACGAGACTCTACTGTACTTGCATTTGACATAACATTATTTTTATTAACTGGAATCCACCAAATTATGAATGTCTCAAAAATGTAATTAGTCCTAAATGTTCCTACTCATTTTGAAAGAAATTATCTTTTACTTTCTGCCACAAACTACATCTGAACACATTGTGAATATTCTTCCTCTTTCATGGGTTGTTTCCTTGTGTTCAATACTTAAGTTTGTGTACATTCACCAGTTTATATAGAATGAATGAAGATTGCCACAAAGCATCATTTTATTGCGCATTGTTCTTTAATATTATTGTATACTTGTTCAGGTAATTCTATGTGAATGCCATGTCCTGTTGTTCAAGTTGAAACACAGGCATTTCAGTACTGAATGTGATTATTTTGCTAATTTGCCTAGATGCAGCAACCCAAATACCAAAGAGTTTCTTCTTTTCCCTTAAACATTAACAGGAAAAACAAACAGATACAAATAAAAACACTATAACTTGGATTAGCACCTCAGCAATGCATTAACACTTTGGGGGCGGTTTATTTTTGTTTCTTCTTTAGAGTGCTGGCATAACATGTAATTGCAAGTAGCTTATTATTAGAACTCAAAGGGGATATATGTAATTCAAAATATTTGGCCAAATTATACTGGTATTTGGTTGGGAAAGATTTGGCACCTTATAAAAATAAAGATCATAAGTTCTGCACCCACCAACTTGTAGTTTTAAGAGGTTATGACAAATCAGGCTGCCAAAATTTATTTAAATTGGAGTTTAGATTTTCACATGATTTCTTCTTCCCCTTTCCATAAATGTTGTCAACTTATTGCTTATTTTTATATAATTGTGTGCATGTGTGTGTAATATGCCTATAGGCATAAAATTACATTTAACCCCTCCCCCCCAAAACAAACAAACAAACAACCCTTCAAATATGAGGTGCAGTCTTTTCGGCTTGAGCACACTAGATCTTAATATGCCACGTGCCTTCAAAGTAGCTTATGAGTGGAACTAGGGCCATTCATTCTTTAACCATGACCTCTTATTCCAAAACCATTGGCAAGCTAAAAGCTAAAATGGGACACCTTTGGTGAATCTATAGTAACTTGTTAAGATCCCTAGTTCTCTAATTTAGTAACATATGTAGCTTGTAATTTACATGCAAACGATGTGAATTGTTTTTTAAAAAAACTTGCTGCACATCAGAGGAAGTGTACTTAACATTATTTTAGTTTTTCAGGTGTGAGGTGAAATGTTCATTAAGTGCACTGAAATAAATTCTGAGAATTGTATAGAATCATGCTGTGACCTATCATTTGGCTCATTAAAATGTTTGTACTTTTAAAATGTGTTGTCTTTTGAAATACAGTGTCCTAAAGCCTATTGTGAAGTGTTGTTTTTAAGAATAAAATTATTTGTTTTCAAGTGGTTTTGATAAAATACAAACACTTAAGTTGCGTATTCACCTTATGGTCCCACAAAATGTTTGCGGCATGAGCTTTTATGGCATGCACCTGGCTTTATCAAACCTCAGGGGCTCTGTTGCTTTTGCTGCAGTGAATTTGGATAGTGGTGCCATTGAATTATTATTTATATCCTACTTTTTCTCTTCACAACGGATACTTAAAGTGGCTACAAAGGAGACTCAATGTGTGATAAGAGGCATGTAGAGCAACACTGTTAATGAGATTCATAAACAGTACATTGCTTTAATTTTTTGAAAAGTAGGTTTAGGCAGAGTTTCCTGTTTCATTCTACAAATAGGTTTAACTTTCAGATATTTTCAATTGTTTTAGATCTTTTGTCTAATAATAGAAACCTTCCCTATTCTTAATGATTCAAGACATATTCTAAACAGTAACTCATGTTTTGTGCAATATATACACAACTAGATGACTTTATAAATGCCTTTTGGTATTGTTAATCTGGATTTTTTGCAACTATTTATTACTGACTTTAAACAAGAGTTTTCAAGTTTTCACCCAGCTCACAAAAGGAGCATTGCACTTGTTGGGCTCTTTTTATCAGCACACTTCCATTAATTGGTGGAAATTTAAGATCCAAACTATCCAGAATATTGGTTTAGTGTAACACTCTTTCTGTCTTGTCATTTTGCTATTAACAAGGTTCAGGTAAAAATAATACATCTGAACATATCTTATGTAAGATTTTAAGGACATAATAGTTTCTTAAGTGCAGGTAGCACAAATTTTATTTTAAAAGATTCATATAAAATTATGTAGCTCTCAGCATATTGGACCACAAATCTCAGCAGTGCTAACCCAGCACAAGAAAGGTGAAGAATGCTGGAAATTGCAGCTCACCATCTTGAGGGTAATATCTCATCATGCTATATAGTATAAACTGCATAGTCTCTTCCTGTCCTCTTATATCTATCTTCAGCAAAGCCCACAATGATTTATTGTATGATTGGGGAACTGCTGGAGAGTAAGAAGGAAGGTGGTTATTGATCTTCCATAGGTTCTTGGGAAACCATATCATGTTAATTGTTCACTATAGCAGCCATTGGGCATACTTCAGTATGTTTTGGGGTCTCTCTGGGTGGGGATTGTCTACATCCCTTATGCCAGTGGTTCTCAACCTTTCTAATGCCGTGACCCCTTAATATCGTTCCTCATGTTGTGGTGACCGCCAACAATAACATTACTTGTGTTGCTACTTCATATCTCTAATTTTGCTACTGTCATGAATCTTAATGTAAATATCTGATATGCTGGATGTATTTTCACTGGACCAATTTTGGCACAAACGTCCGATATGCCCAAATTTGAATACTGGTAGGGTTGGCGGGGCGGGGCGGGGTTGATTTTGTCATTTGGGAGTTGTATTTGCTGGGATTTATGGTTCACCTACAATCAAAAAGCATTCTGAGCTCTACCAATGATGGAATTGAACTGATCTAGGCACACAAAGCTCCAATTACCAACAGAAAATATTGGGAGTATCTGGTGGGCACGGATCTTGAGTTTTGGAGTTGTAGTTCATCTACATCCAGAGAGCACAGCAGACTCAAACAATGATGGATCTGGACCAAATTTGGCACAAATATTCAATATGCCCAAATGTGACCACTGGTGGAATTTGGGGAAAATACATTTGACATTTGGGAGTCGTAGTTGCTGGGATGTATAGTTCACCTACAATCAAATAACATTCTGAACCCCACCAACAATAGAATTGAACCAAACTTCCCACACAGAATCCCCATGATTAACAGAAAATACTGTGTTTTCTGATGATCTTTGGTGACCCCTCTGACACCCCCTTGTGACCCCCCAAGGGTCCCGACCTCCAGGTTGAGAAATGCTGCCTTAGGCCTATCCTTTCCCACCTTTTATCTAATGGCTATGCTTTTCTGTAAGATTGTAATACATCCAGTAAAAGATCAAGGAAAATCCTAAAAAAGCTGTCATTAACAGCTCAATGCTGAATATGAAATCAGTCTTAGAAAAACAGTATAAAAATGCAAGTTTCTCATCTTTCTTAAAACAAAATGGCTTTAGGTGGAAAGTGTACACACATAAATGATTTTGAAAGTGTTTACAGAAGGAATATTTATTGATGTATCTCAAAAGTGTTTTAGCCAGGAAGTCAGTGCTATACTACTGTAGCAAAAAGCCATTGATTATATGAATTAACTGCTGCCTTTAAAAATAATCCTACAAAACATCTGAGATAACTTTGTAAGAATAATCTAAGATCTCATTCCTTTGGGTCACTGACAACAGCTGTGGTTGAATAAGAAAAGGGACTAAGAAGAGCAGCAATGGTGTAATGACGATGACCAGAATCGTTAGCCATAAAAACCACCTGTAAAAGGAGAAAAACAACCATAAGTTGGGATCACAGTGCTATTTATATTATAAAGACAACAAAATGTCAACAGTGTTCTTTGCAATTCAAACTGACGATTTCTTAATCAGCTATCTCAGTTTACTAAATGACCAAGTCTTTGTCTATGGAGTTCTGCTGTTCTTAGACTAGGACCTCCATGTACATTTGTCCACAAGTGAACATAAGATTGAAAAATTAAGATAGCCAGCCAATTGATGGTTTACTAAATGATGAAAATGGAAACAAGACTTCTCAACCACTTGGATGTTTATGTGACATTGTAGGAATTCAGTGACAGATATGCCTCAATCCATAAAACAAAATCTGATTGAAGGGATCAAACACTGAAAATATGGCCTGCCCCTGCAGCCTCCACATAATTAAAGCTTAATTGTGTATTCCACTCTCTCATCCCTTTTTGCATAGTTGATGACGGTTATTAGTGTTGCATTATCGTATTTTCTTTTTGAAGAATTATAAGGAGCAAACGTTTAAGTTTAAGTACTAATATTGCATTACATATAAAAAGCTACTGCCAAATACTTACATCAGCATATTCATGAAATGGAGAAACACCAAGTGCCTTCCAGTATGTGCTGGTGTCAAATTCCACCTTGTACAGCCCTTCTACAAATAGATCATCTGTTGTAAGTTCATGGATTTCCCCCAGTTCATTGGTTTTCCTATAACATGAAAGTATTAAAAGAATAAGGACACTATCTTAACTGAGCATAAGTGACAGATGGTAGAAAAATGTACTGATTCAACATTGTGGTTAAGATCCAAAGTTAATCATGTTTAGAGTACCATATATTCATTACTTTTCTGGAATTCATCATGATTAAGTTGAATTGATTTCAGTGGGTCTGTGCTAAGCATCCTTGTGTCAATAGTTATTCAAACTAGCACTTAACTCCTGGCTGCTGCAAAATATATGGGAAATGGCAGGCTTACTTCTAAATCCATTGCTAGTCCAACTAGCATTGACCCATTAAAACCATGGCATTTGCATGTTGACTTTCCAAGGTGAGAAATGCCTCTTCAGTTTTCTCCACACTTAAAGCATTTTGACACCACTTAAACTGTGATGGCTCCATCTAGTTTGCAGTATTTAGACTTTCTGGCAGGAGTGAATTCAACTGACTCACAAAACTACAAGTTCCAGGATTTCATGGGAATACAGGCACAGCAGTTAAAATGGATAGTGTCTGGGATATGACATATGGAGATAATCCCAGAAGAAAGGGTTCAGTGCTTTTCTACTTATTACATGGTATCTCACAGAATGTCATGTTGTCCCATATATGTATGTACCAAGTTTGAAATCTTCAATTACTTCACAATATGGCAGCCAGATTGGTTACTGGTACATCTAGAAGTGACCATATTATACTGATAGTAAAATCACTCCACTGGCTGCCAATTAGTTTCTGGGCAAAGTATTTGTGGTTTTTACCTTTAGATTCTCACATGGTTTGGGCACAGGTTACTCCCGGTGGCACAGTGGGTTAAACCGTTGCACCGGCAGGACGGAAAGACCAATAGGTTGCAGGTTCGAATCCAGGGAGAGAGCAGATGAGCTCCCTCTATCCTTCCAGCTCCCCATTGCAGGGACATGAGAGAAGCCTCCCAGAAGGATGATAAAACATCAAAACATATGGGCAACGTCCTTTCAGACAGCCAATTCTCTCACACCAGAAGCAACTTACAGTCTCTCAAGTGACTCCTGACATGAACCCCCCCCCCAAACAAACAAACCTATAGGATTGGCTTCTCCCATATAATGTACCCTCTATAAAGTGGTTGTCAACCTGTGGGTCCCCAGATATTTTGGRCTTCAACTTCCAGAAACCCTAACAGCTGGTAAACTGCCTGGGATTTCTGGGAGTTATAGGTCAAAACACCTGGGGATCCATAGTTTGAGAACCACTGCTCTTTAGTTTGGTTCTCTAGGAGACTTCTACTTAAGTCTGCCAAAACTTCAGCTGCCCCTAGGTTGTGGAATGGCTTGGAGGTCTCTAACTACAAGGCAGTAATTGTTATTCCTTCAATATGAATTCTGTGTTCTAACCCTCTTCCAAAAAAGCTTATCACTGAAAAAAATCGAGGCATTTCATATTTAAAGCTGCTTTGAGAGTTCCAGTATTAAGCTGTTCTATAAGCCATTAGTATTCAGAACATTTTTTTGCAGTTTCTTCTTTCTCATTTCGCTTTGTAGCTCTTAGTATCATTACTACAGCCACCAAGTGACAACCATCATCATTCTCATGCCCAGTGATTGCCACAATGGCAAAAAAAAAAAAACCCGAGGCAAGGTAATAGGGGTATACTAGTGCCTCCACATTACTTCCAGCACTACTGAGATGTGCAGACACATCTAGCCACCAGACAAGCTCAAGACAATGCATTGTGGACACTGGCCAGCCCATGAGCCAACTCAGCTGCTGGTTAAGTAGACCAAGATGATGGTATGATTGTTTTGTTACTCTGGCTGTTGTCAATCCAGGTGCCAAACAATGGCCATCAAGTGATGATAATTGACAGGGCTCAGTAAATGCCACCCCTTGCCCTCAGACTGCCTGCTCCAGGGAAGGCAGCATCTTGGTGTGAACAGCGGCTTCTCAAATAGGAAGTATAACAACTGTTTGCACAGGCTCCAAACATAGGCGAGCTCTGGATCTTCAAGGACTTTTCTTCCATGCTAAAGTCAATGGATCTCATATGTTGTGTGGATGCCACAGAGTCCATTCATCCTCAGACCAACTGATATTCAGTTGGTGTACCTTGCTACCAGACATGTTGCTCAGACATTGGTCTATCATAGAATCATAGAGTTGGAAGAGACCTCATGGGCCATCCTGTCCTACCCCCTGCCAAGAAGCAGGACAATAACGTTCAAATGATACATCATATAGTCATGATAACCCAATAGAGGAGAAGTTTCTCTATCATGCTAAACTGCAATAATGAGCCTTGGAGATAAAAGTGTGTGGACTGAACCGGTGCCTGGCCGCTGTGACGGTCTGGATGAGGGCGAACAAACTGAAATTAAATCCAGACAAGACAGAGGTACTCCTGGTCAGTCGCAAGGCCGAACAGGGTATAGGGTTACAGCCTGTGCTGGACGGGGTCGCACTCCCCTTGAAGGCGCAGGTTCGCAGCTTGGGTGTGACCCTGGATTCATCGCTGAGCCTGGATCCCCAGGTTTCAGCGGTGACCAGGGGAGCATTTGCACAGCTTAGGCTCGTGCGCCAGCTGCGCCCGTACCTTGGGAAGTCTGACTTGGCCACGGTGGTACATGCACTGGTCACATCCCGCCTTGACTACTGCAACGCTCTCTACGTGGGGCTGCCCTTGAATACGGCCCGGAAGCTTCAGCTAGTTCAGCGCGCGGCAGCCATGTTACTAACGGGAGCGGGACGCAGGGAGCATACAAC